TGCTTTCCCTACCATCCAGCCGTCCAATTTTGATCAAGAGAGCCACTCACCGTTTGATCTTAGATCTGACATATGAAATTATTTTATTTTTATTTTTTTATAAAAAATGTATGAATATGAATTTGGTACGTGCCATCTTCTCATTGAGGCGCACTTATAAAAAATATTAAAATATTTTGTCGATAAAATATAATAACCAAAATACCCCTTGAAACTTTCACTGGTATTTTGGTCATTTTATTCTATTGAAAATATTTTTTAAATTTTTTTCGTTAGTGCGAGTTTAATAGAGGATTGGATGTCCAAAATTTGTGTCAAAATAGTTTATAGAAAAAATTTAAAAATAAAATAGTATAGAAATTTGATATTGTCATTGGGGCAATCTTAGTCCTCCATTCAAAATGGACGGTTGGATAAGGGGAAGTATTATAAATTTTATGGTGTAGGAACCATTGAAAGCTTGTCCCCTATAATATACCACGAATAATATGCATGTTTGGTCAGGGCCCACCTCTAAATGGAACCCTTTTCAAGCACTCCCATTTGAATTCCTTTTGTTAACCAACACCCTAAACCAATTTGAATCCACATCTAACTAACTGAATTTAACAAAAACAAAAACAACAACAATGGCACCACATTCTTGATTCTTTTAAAGGAACCGAAGAACTCAATCATCAACATTTATTTGAACGAAAGCTGCTCATTTATTGGCAAGGGCTAATGCTGCAGTTGTTTCCATCCCGAACGTGCGTCTTCCATCTCTGGTTTCCTTCCACACCATTGTACCATCTGCATCATACATGAGTGATATAGTTTGTGTAATATGTTAGTATTTGTTGTAGTTTGAAGACTGCATTTGGATTCTCTCTTGCTTAGGATTTGTTGCCGTTATAAGACTGCATATGGATTCTCTCTCCATTTTTTAAAAATTTAATATCTTCATACGGATTGTCATCTGGAAGTTTGTTCTCAAAATCAGGTTGCATCCTTGGTGGATCTTGGACCCTTTCTCGAAAAAACCTGGGAAGGCTCCTCTAACATAGGCTCTTATATTTGGGGATTGTGTACTATAAGAAGGTTCACTTTTGGTACAAGGGAGTAACAAGTACTCTTAGCAATTGGACATGCAATTCAACATATTGAAATGTTTTACAACATTTGAGAAATTTTATTTTGAACTCTATCCCCAATCAATAACACCCGACCACTCGATTTCACATCTAATGGTTGATTGTGACACATTTCCAACCACTCGATTTCACATCTAATGGTCTAACATGGCTTTTGTGGAACACACTGTATGGATCGTCTTTCTTTTTCTTGCTAGTGGTTCAGTAGAAACCTGAACTTATCTTGCGTCTACTTGATCATAGATTAGCTTTATCGTGAATGGGTTTTGGTAAGTTAATGTCTGCAGTGTACTAAGAATGGATGTTACTATGTTCAGTGGATGGATATTGGTATGTTTATTGAATGGATGGTGATATTTGAGTATTTAATATTTTTAATTCTTGCTGACCATATAGGAATGAGTTCCGATGATGTTGGAAGAAATTACCAATTGACAACACTGCTCTTGATTCCCTGTCATATCAGGGCGGGAACTTTAAAATGTATTTCATAACTTTTATGTGGAAGATGGTTGGTTTATATTTTCCTCTGAACTTTGGTTGATTATATGGATGACTATAACTTTTCCTTCTTTTTATGTGGATGGTGGTTAATGTGGATGTACATGTGATTGATTTTTGGTGATTAATGTGACTATGTGATTGATTTTTGGTGGTTAATGTGGATGTACATGTGATTGATTTTTGGTGATTAATGTGACTATGTGATTGATTTTTGGTGGTTAATATGGATGTCTATGTGATTGATTTTTGGTGGCTAATGTGGATGTCTATGTGATTGATTTTTGGTGGTTAATGTGGATGTTTATGTGATTGATTTTTTGTGGTAAATGTGGATATTTATGTGATTAAACGGTTAAAAAAAGCAGTTTCGTGCTTTCCCAACGTCAGCATTACCAAACAAGAGAAAGTAGCAGCACAACAGTTTATCAAATAGGGTTCCTAACTTGCAGGCTACCAATTTAGGCTACCAATTTTCACTTTCTCACAGAATGATTGGCAGGTGAGCTTACATTTTCTCACACCTCGTTTTCTAGTTAATATTTTGCCCCATCTCATAATCCATGATCTTCGGCCTTCGTTATGTTGTCTTAATGACAAGTTTGTTACTCTCAGTCATTACGAATTGTTTCTCAATTAGGTACTGATTGGTATCTAAACTCCACTGTTCTATGAATGCATCTATTGTGGTAGCTTTTGCATTTTTGTGAGAGGTTATGATCGATAAAACATAATATGGTAGCAGTCATGGAGGGGTTTAATGAATTTGAACAAGGAGGTTCTCTGAATGAGTTATGATTTGTCTTAATTTTATATAAATCAGGATGCATGCCTGGAATCGTGCATCCGGTTTTCGTACATGCAATTTATCGAAGAGGAGTTATGCAAGTGATGCTGCCAAAGCTAGTTTGAATCATCAAGCTGAAAATGTTCATGTACATCCTTTTACATTTATTACCTTTAATTGCTTTTATTTTGGCTGTTCGTTCTCGACATTTCTGTTTGTTATCTTGTCAAGTATTTGTAAATTTAACGGAGAAATAGTTACAAATATAAATTATATGTTGTTTTATACCTTGAAGATATTTTTTTTATTAATAACTGTAATTCATATTTACTTCGGAAGATAGTTCTGGAACCCTGGAAAGTTATAAAACTATAAGGATGAGAAGGGATTTTCACAGTCAAGTTCCTATGTTTGACAACTATCTATTAGTCCACTTGAAAATTGTATCGTTGGCATCAATGTTTCGAGATCATTCTATAATTTTTTTATGTATAATTTTGGATGTTTTTGGCAAAGATCGGTGATTTTTTTGGCATGATCCGCATTTTTACATTTTTTTTGTTTTGGAGCATTTTTTAAAAGGATGCGGTTTGTATAGAGCTGAGGCTCTAAACAATCAAATTAGAGCCCACTTTCAAATAGTATCGAGAAATGTGGTTCCAATATTGGAAATATTTGTGATAGCTTTAAAATATATTTTCATCTTTAATTATAAAACTTAAAGTTTAAAAAATAGTGTAGATCGAGTAGATCTATGAAAATTTGAAAATCTTGAAAATTGACGGTCCAAAAATGCATTACAAGATGCACTATTTTCAAAACTTGAAATCCATTTTTTTCTCATGTCCATGCATCTTGATGTCGAGATGATCAATTTGAGGACATTTAGGCATCAAAACAACCTCCTCTAGTGAAATTTCTGAGGTAGGCTCTAATTTGATTGTTTAGAGCCTAGGCTCTATATAAACTTTTTACTTTTTTAAAATATCCCCAATTATAAGTCAAATTCTTTTAAAATCCATTTTATATACTTTTTAAAGCTTATTGGAAAATTTGAATGTTGTTTTTGGTTTTATTTAACTTCTAGCAGATTCAATTTATTTTTCAAAATTTTATATTTTTTGAATTTATCTAGGCTTTTGGCTGTGTATAGGACTTGGTTGAGTCCACTCAGTCTCTGCTGAGTCCCTTGGCCAAGGTGAGTTCCTAATCATTGGCTTGCATATTGCTTATGGTAGATTATTGAAAGTTCACACCTTCAAAACTTTTCTGGTACTTGTGTTGCCCTTGATTTGGTGTGGCTACATAGAAAGCCTAGCTTTCTTCTATTCATCTCATTGTTTCTTTGAAAATATGAATTGTTTTCACAAGTTAGAGAACCTTTCATTTCGGTTAACTTTGGGTCGAAGATCATTGTGAAGCTTTCTATTCGTGTATGTGTGTATGTATTGTTTATGAAATTCTTTTAAAATCTCTTTTAAATGTTGGGTCTTTAATGACAATTAATATGGTTTTCTTGAAACGGATGGGCTTGCTGTAAGAACTTTCTAGGAGGGTGGAGATAAGCCTGTTGAAGCAAATAATATTGAGCAGTACGATGTTGCCATTGTCGGAGGAGGCATGGTTGGCATGGCTCTTGCTTGTACTCTAGGTAATTATTATCACCCATTGATCGTCTTTTCAATTGCATAAACTTTCACTATATTGAAATTAAGTCCTGTCTAGTGTTGTCTAGAAAATGGTGTGTCATTTCAGGAATAACTGTTATAATGCTTTTGAACATGACTGAAATCAAGAATCAGCCTTTGTGGAGAAAAACACCTTAATTTTTGGTGCACATCATTGATCATAATCATGAAATAGAACAATATTAGCAATTGAAAACTAAATAAATGTATTACTGGTTGGCAGTGTATTGACATATAGATATATTTTGATCACTGTTCCAATCCTTATGCCATTCCAATTTCGGTTTGATGAGCAGATGAAAGTGTGGTCTGATTTATTTGCAGCTATCAGCAAACAGATGTAGAGGAGGCTGGATCGTGTGTCTGGCCAAAAAAAAAAAAGCATAGGAACATATAGTCTCCTTGGACGTGGCAAATCTCTTATGTGTTGTTTGGATTCTAGGACTTGCAGAAACGAGTTTTGGGGGCATTGCTGTTTGGATAGTTTTTGGATCAACCCAGGATATTGCAAATCCCTTGTTTGGTTTATGCATTTGTAAAACCTGGATTTGCTGGATTTATGATAAACATGTTAACTGTAGTTGATTAGATCTTGATATCTATCCAGTGAAGACAATTTCTTGAAAATAATTAAACCATAATATGAATAACAAAATGGACAATTCAAATTATTATACAACTAGATCACTGTTACTCACCCTCCCTCTTTTGTCATAAAACTTTGAACATAAATTGATATATCCATCCGATAAATCAACTAAAGATGTTTTTCAGATGACTCAATTTTCTAGAATAAAAAGATCATATGCAATGGAATATTGTTAGAAAGATTAATACAAATAATATGGAATGCCCATTCTGCACCCATGGAAAGTTCAGTAACATGATTTTTTTTGACAAGGAAAGCTCATAGTTATATAGTACTACATTCACCAGGGATCAAACACAGGAAACCATTAAAACCAACATGAGATTTCAAGGTTTAAAGCTTCATTTCTCTTGTTCAACAAAATATATCAAGATTTACAGCTTCATTTCTTTATTCAACAAACTTCAACGTATACCTAAAAATACAAATTGGGAGGTCCACTCCCCCAATACAAACCAGAAAAATACTGCCCGCCCTTGAAGCTCCCGAAAAAGAAATATCTGGAAAACCCAAATGAAAGAAAAAAGTTAGAACCCTAAAATCCATTTAAAAAAAGGCATCAGCTACCTCCAAACCATAATTATTAAAAGTAAGTACCAAAAAGGAAAACCAATAGAGAGAAAAAAAGATGGAAATCCAAAGAAAAATTGAAAATCAAACCTCTTGAAAACATCAATAGGAAGTGATCAAGATAACAATAATGGAGAGGGAACCCATTATTATCAATGGTGTGACTCTTTCAGTGATTGGTTTGATCCACAAAGGAGAACGAGCTTCCTCATAGTGGCAGGATTGCAAACCTCCTAAAAAAACCCAACAACAAAAGTTTAGTAGAAAAGAAATAAAGTTCCCAATAAGTATGTAACCAAGCTTTCCTAGGTTTGTAGAACAACGTGGGAAAATGCATAGCACCACGATACATTAAAAAAAATAGCGCACAAAATTTTAATGGAACGAGTAATAGAGATAGTGGTTCTTACTCCTCCAACCCCAATAGCTGCTCTATTCTTTCTCTCTTCCTCCTTGTCCTTTTGTCCCCCTTTTTTCACTCTACCCTATGTTCCTCATCCTTTTCTCTCTCTTCCTCTTATTGAACTTGTATCTGCTTCCCCTTCTTCGTTCTCTCTCCAACGCTCTGCGATTTCTTAATGCCATTGCTTCAAGCCTAAAGAATAGTTGGTCTTATCTGCAAGAAAATAACTTAACAATGGATTGCAAACTGCAGCAAAAATTATTGTGAATCTTAGAGGGTATTGTACTTTGGTTTCTTTGTGAGGAGAGATTGTTGAGGCAGAGGAGAAGGGTTGACTGGGACTGCAACAATGGAAAGAGAGAGAAAAGAGAAGATAGAGAGGAGGTTAGCGGCCAGCACTTGACCTAATGCGCAAGATCAAGCTTAAGAAAAAATCGGGAAATGCTCATTCCATCTGTTTTTTGCTTTTGGAATGAGCAAACCTCATTTTGAGCCCTTTTGGGGATATGCAAAGCCAAGATATGAGTCCTGAAAGAAAACCCAAACAGCTTTTTAGCTGCGAGGCAATGCACACTTGTCTGATTGCGGAGTGATTGTACATGTAGTATCTGTTGTCCTTGAGAGACAATCTCACAGCATCATAATTCATTTGTATGTTGATCCTCAAGGAAATGAGCCTTCATCTTCTCTTTTTTAAGTAGGTTGGCTTGCATGCATAAGGTGGTTTGAACCCCAAATCTCCCTCTTGCAACCAAGATATCACATCTTAACCTAGTTTGAACTTTTGCAAATTGACAATCAAAATTGCCCTCTTTTGTGGACATCTAGAAGTCAATTTTCTTGTGACATTGACCCCGTAGTTATGTTTCTCTCAATTCTAACCTAGAGCGGGAGCTTTGGAAGGCATTTATGGTCCTAGAAGCTTGGTTTCGGAAATTTAATCATGCTATCCTTTAGGCCTGTTTTCAAAGTGCACAAGAGGTTGCAATGGCTGCTGGAGGTTGAGGATGTCGTAGACGGTCAAGGTGTGTTTTCATATTTTCAATTTAAATCACCCTCTTTGATCTTGTAGTTGGTTTGGTCTATCATAAAATATGTGATCTTGTGAGTGATCCGATTTTGATTAAGAGCCTTTGGAAGAAGTTGAGGAATTAGAACCCTTTCTCTTCGAGATAGTGAGGAGAGAATAGTTCTTGAAAAGGATGATGAAGCCCTTGATGGCATGATGAACAAGGAAACCCTTAGTAGAGAAGATGATGGCCATGGTGATGGTGAGGAGGACAAGGAAGTCTTAGGGTTTTTTGGGAACTTTTGGGCGTATGGACTCTACATACAAAGTGTTTGGTGATCGTTGAATGAAAATGAGGTTGTTGGGTTGGCAAGCATAGTTAAGGTTCTTAAAGTTGTGGAGGAGGAGAATATACAGGTTTAGAACATTTTAATTTGGTGGCATAGAGGAAGCGTAGGGGATCCTTAGCCCAGTAAGGCGTGACCCTAGATTTAGAGAGAAAGGAAGTGGTTGTTGAGAATGTGTAAGATACCAAGAAAGAAGACTTGGTATCAATTTTTCAATATACATATCAAGATCCTTGTCTTCAGGGCATCTCCATACCACAAATAATCTTAAAGCTAGTAAAGATTAAGGTTGAGAAGATCTTGGGCTTAGCAAAGAATCCATCTTAGTGTACTTTAAAACTCAAGGACGAGTTTTTTCCAACCAGGGAAGTCTGAAGCATGACAAGATGCCTGTTATTTTTTGTTTTTTATAATTATATTTAGGAATATATTTTAGGGATTTTCTACGTTATTTTTAAGGGTTTTTAAGTTTTTTAAAGCATTTATTTATTTATTTTAATATATTTTTAGGATTTCATGACTTGTTCGGAAAAGTAGTTAACAATGCGTATGAAATTATTTGTTTTATCAAGGTAAAAGTGTCATTATGAATTTTTTTAATTGAATTTTGTTTCAATTAGAATTAGGATTCTTGGGGTCTTAAGGACGGTCTTTTTATTATAATGGAAAATTATAAAAAAGGTCCCTAAATTTTTCAAATATATAAGAAATGCTAAATTTTTTCAAAGGACATCCATACCCAACAATTTTTTGGTTTACTCAAAATGCTAATCGGGCCATGATTCTAGAGGGAGGTTGTGTGGTGCTTCTGTTGGGCATTACGACCTCTTAGAGCCGTGATGCACCCTCGCGGCCCTACTGCCTTGGATGCTTTGAAAGCACAAGGTTGAAGCATGAAGGGCCCTTGGGCATCATGGGCCTCTTAGGGCAATGATGGTGGGGCATCACGACTGTAATAGGCATCATCATGCCCTAACAGGGCCGTGATGCCCAAAGGAAGCCCCAAAGGATAGTCCTTGGGCATCGTGGCCCTATGAAGGGCATTCTGAGCTAAGAAAAAAACTGTTGGGTATGGACGTAATTTTTTAAAAAAAGTTTTCGTATTGTTTTTATTTTTTGAAAAATACAGGGATATTTTTTATAATTTCCCTATTACAAATAGGGAATTTATACAGTTTTTCATTCAGAATTGGGTTTTGAGTTCTTATTTCTGGTTTAACCAATGTAAAATTATTGAAGCCTGACTTGTAGGCTTCCTCTTTAATTTTTCCAATCAATAGTTTGTTTCATTTTCTTCCCTTCAGATTTCTTTGTGCATTTCTAGGACTATAGTTGTCAGAAACGAGTGAGATTCCGAATAATTGCAATTGCGGAATCGTGGCTGGCTACAAGATTCTTGTTTTCAAAATCAACGTTTGTACGAGGGGAATTGCGGGAAGTGATATTCCTACCTTATAGGAATCAAGATTCGACCCAAATGAAATAGAGATACCTACATATATGGAATCGAGATTTCGTCCTATTCGGAATCGAGTTTATGACCTAGTTGGAATCGAACCCCATATGAAATCGAGATTCCAAATATCTTTGAAATCGAGTGTTTGATTTTATTTTTCTCATAGGTTGTGAATTGTTTATTTTGTAGTTCATGGCCCTAAGTTTTAGCGGGTGTTTGTTTCATGGAAGACCAGGCTGCCAATATTCATGTATTTTGAAATCCGTGACCTCGCGTGGTTAGAAGCCACGGGTTCCATAAATCACATCATTTTGATGTTAATTTGGAGGTCCAAGAACCCACGATTTTCAAATTAACATTGCACTTCATGCCAACAAATGCAGGAAGTGCAACAGTCATGGAAGTCGTGGCCTCCAATAAACAAACACCCTTAGTGAGTAGAAGATTTCCTGTAATGGTTTCCACATATGAGCTCTCAATGTATGATGGAAGTCAATTAGTTTGGATTAGAGGTATATCAATTACAATGACTTGTCGTACTTGGGAACTGTAGCATTCAACCATCAATATAACATTCACATTCAAATCTTTTTTATTTTTTGCCAAATTTGCCCCCAGTCCGATTTGAGTCATTGGATCGCATGGTAGCATGGTAACATTTCACGTTCTATTTTTTTTTTCATATTGATTGATCCCAGTACATTTTGTCACACCAATTGACAGATATTTCATGTGAAAAATCTCTTGTACCGAATAACATGAAGGAGTTTTATCACGTGAAAATACTTTCATGGAAGTATTTTCATGCGTACCAAACATTGTAAAACCTAATACTCCAACTAATGTTTTAAGTATGTGGATTTGAATAGGAATTGCCGATATAGATTAAGAATCAGCTCAGACCGAACCGGTTCTGGGAAGCTATTGGTCATAGCCTGGTGCCCCCATAAGATAGACGTTTTTTTATTCTTTTCTTTTTTTTTGACCTTTTTTGGCTTATCTAATATTTTCTTAAGTCTCACCTAAATCCCAACCTCATAAATCCCTATTTTAAATTTTATTTTATTATTTTTACTTTTTAATATTTCTATGGCCTGTTGATTTGGACCAATGCAAACCGATCCGAATAGGTGATCCAGCAATCCACGGATAATTGATCCAGGTTCCACTGCTCTAAGCAGTAAGGATATCCTGAACTTAGAGACCAACATAAAAAACTAATTAAAAAAAATTCGTGATCCCTTCTGAAGAAAAATGACGTCTTAAAATTAAATACATACTATTCAATTTTTGGGTTGTCAAATTTAAGTGTTTAGAAATTCAAAATTTACTTTTCTTTTTATAAAAGTACTCACAAATTTTCAAATGTGAGAAAACTCTTCTAAGTAGGTCATTTCTTGACGGAGTAGATATACAATATGTACCGCTCGCTATACACACAGCTGTTTGGTTCCATGTGCAAAGCGATTGATTATGTGTTTGTGGTCGTAATGAGTTGCAACGGAATGGGAATGGGGCCGGGGCATCAGTGATAAGGGAGTAGATGCCTCAACTTAACGTCCCACCTTTCATTCTTACCATTAACGATTCGACAAAAATAAAATAATGAAGATGTATAAAAGTATAAGTAAAATATCTCCATATCTTCTATTTTTAAATTTTATTTTTTAATAAATCTAAAGTTTCAAAAAATATCTTCTGGCCACTTTAAACCCATTTTTTAACTTAAACAAATATAAAAAAAACATGTTATTTCTCTCTTTTTGTGTTTCTCTCACTCTTTCCTCCCTTGTTTCTTCAAACATCTCTCTCTCCTCGTGGTAACCTCTCACCTCCATGAAACCCTTCTTTTCCTCTAAAAGTTTGGGATGATGGCTTTTAGAAAAGACATATCTTTTTATATTTGTTTGGCCTAAAGAACAAGGTTTAAATTAGTTTAGGGGGTTAGAAGAAATAAAATTTACTATTTTTATGCCTCAAGATATCTTTTAAAACTTCGGATCTATTGTAAAATGAAATCTAAAAATAGGGAGTATAGAGATATTTTTTCAAAAATATAATAAGTTGTATAAAATATGATAAAGATATGATAGCACTTAGGTAAATGGGAAAAAATATTTTTCTTCACTATGTAATTAGAAAATCAATAAGAGTGTGAAACCACCTCGAAACAACAATAACGTGATTAAATCAATTAATTTGTCAATAATAAAGTGAATTCAAAAAATAAAGTGGGTATGTTTTAAAAATAATTTTATATAGATATTTTTCCAATCATTTTGGTAAAACAAACCGAACAAACACATATCCAGTAACCATAAACAAGTGAGGGAAATTTAACAATTTGACCACTTAAGTTGCTCAACTCAAATGACGTAGAGACCCCAACTTGTTTTCCTATCCGGGACATTATGTGGAAAAGTGTTATATACGTCAGGAGATGCATTCCTACATTTAAGTTCCCAAAGAATAAACCATCCATCTAAATGTGGATGTAAATGATCTCCAAGACTTATGTTACCTAAAGATCATTGTCCTCGTAAAAAAACCAAATCTCACTCTAATATTTATGTTATGCAAAAATTATTGTCCTCTTAAAAAACCCAAACAATACTCCATTAAAAACCATGTTTCACACCATGGTCGGATATAAGTGAAAGATAGTCTCATATTTTTTATATGGAATTGTATATTATGAGGCCGTTTACTTTCGTATTTTCGTAAATAGCTCACAATCATATATTTAGCCATAGATGTGAAATCTAATAAATTGAAGTGTGTTATAACATTCCAGAAATTTGTTTTGGACCTTGTGCCCAATCAGTGATACATCTTCAACCACCCGATTCTACATACAACGGTTAGTAATGATTGTGACCTCTTTGTATAAAAAATAAATGGTCTCATTATCTTTATTTTTTTATACTATAATTGGGAAAAAACTGACATAGGCCCACTAACCTACAGCTACATATGAGCCCAATAACCCAAATTGAATATAGGCCAATCCAATAATTACGATTGTATTTCGTGTTTTAATTTATTTTTTTTATAAATCCAAATTAGTTAAAATTTTGAGTGTTTTTTTAAAAAATATAGAAGAATCTACTAAAAATACTTCTACTCACTCACTTGAACTATCGAACATAATATTTTTATTTTAAATGGGAGAATGGATATTGCAATTCAAGATATCGAATACATCATTTTGAGTAAAAGATCAGTTAGGCACTTATAACAACGGACCTATCTTTTACTAAATTAAGTGTTATATGCCTTTGGCACTTTAAGTATGACACCTTTAATGCAATAAATGTGTAGTAAAACTTATTTTTAAAAAATATGAATGTGTACTATGCTCCTACAAGAGCATACTGTCCATTTGCTCCTTTAGGTGAAAAAGCTACTTAATTGTATAAGGCATCAATTGTTGAAATAAAGTGCACCTCAAAAATTGACTCAAAAAGGATATCTCAATATTAAAAAAAAAACCTTACAATTGATCATCTCAACCTTAAAATGTATGAATATTAAAAAAAAGATTTGAAGTCCTAAAAATAATACATATTGTAACACATTATCTAGATCATCCATTTTTAAAATTTACAAGTATTTATAGATCTTGATCTACTCCATTTTTAGAGTTTTAAATCTAATAATTAAAGATGAAAATAGATTTTTAGGTCATTGTAAGGTTTCCAACACTGAAACTACATCGTTTATCAAGATTTAGAGATGCATCTTACTATGTTTAACGTTGACATCATATACAAAAACCACACCCTTTTTTAATTCACAAAGAAAATAGATTTTTACATTATGTAAAAAGAGAAAAAACAAAGAAAATCATTATTGATTATGATTTTGAAATAACAACATGAGGCAAAAAAGAATATTTATTCAAATAAAAAGTCAGAAAATGATATCATTAAGATAAATTTGTCTCCATTTGTGTGGAATTCCTTAAATATCATTAACTTCTGCAAATATCTTAACAAACATGATTTGTCGAAAACTTCCACAAGAAATAGAAACCGATACCTGATACAACAAAGTTACACTACATTGGAATGATAAATAATCCAGCATGATGTCACATATGTTTGAGAACCATCATCCCAAAGCCAATACCAAGGAAAGTTGCAATCGAAATTCCAAATATACCGGCAAGAATACCGGGCACTATAAGTGTCGCCCATCCCTTTGTAGTTGCCATTCCGCAGGCAGTTGTGGGGCCACCCACATTGGCATTTGAGGCGATGAGCAGGAGCTTCTGATCAGAGCCCATCAATCTTCCTACTCCAAGAATAACAGCAAGGTGAATAGAAACCTGGATCAGTGCAAAGGTGAAAATGCCAGGTGCTGTTTTGATAACATTCCATATGCTCCCGTTCGCTCCCACGACAGCAAAGAAGACCTGTCCATACATGTGCCTCACATAATGAAAACTTAAATTCTTTTTTTGAAGGCCTATTATTCCAAGCAAAAAGAGAATCATTTCCATGAGCCTACATAAGACACGAACACCCGAGTTTAAACTAGTTCAGCTCATTACGCAGAAGCAAACTCACAGAACTTGGGTGAACTTGTTTGCCAAGCAATGAACTCATAAAACATGAGTAAATTGGGTTGACAACAGTTATTCCCTAGCTTAACTAAAATTTTAGCTTCAATCTGAAGTTCCAAGAATTTTCAGTTATTAGTGAAGGACCAAACCAGAGCAAGAATATTTTCAGATTTTGTACTTTGCTTTTGCATAACCAAAAACGTGCGACCAATTTTGGTTTTTTATCTCTTTTCAGTTGGAAATATCAGACAGACGATTATTAAAAATAATCTTTTAAATATCCAAGACTGTGCATTTTATCTGACTATAGAAGGGCAAGGAGGTCATCGACAATTATTATAGTCGAAACTGATGGTTGTCAAAGTTGCAAGTGAGAATAAGCTCTCCAAGTGTAAAGCCACAAAATTTTTCTTTCTATGGTGGCTTATACCCTAGTATTTCTTTCTTAAATAACATCAAGTCATGAGAAACCTTAGTCCCAAATTAGAATGGAGAGAGAGAGAGAGAGAGAGAGTTTGGGTGTGTGTTTTTATTATTGTAACAAGTCTTAGGGTCATAAAGAACTTTATTTCATCAAGGTCCAAGAAGCAACACAAAGAGTGCAAACTACATCCAAGATGGATTCTCTCTCTAGTGACTTTCCTAATGATCTCATGATATAAACGCTTTCTTGTCAAATCCATACTCAGGTTCAAAACAATCTACAACTCATGAAATGAACTTCTCTATTCTCCCTCTTTTGCTAAAACTCACTCTCTATCTCTCTCTCGCTCCTCGCTCTTTCAACCCTTCCCTCTCTTCCTTTATCCAAGTGGACAACATCTCTCTACTTATCAACTAAACTAGTGACCCTTATTCTTTGAAGAGTCACGCATCCAAGGAAGCAAGTAGCTTATACAAAATGACTTGCATCAATGGTATTGTGTATTTCCTAAGCCTCGTTTCCTCCTTCAATGTCTTTATCATTGGAAACCCTACAACCTCCAAATATAGGAGCAATCCAGGCCTTAGTGAAATCCATGGGTTTTTCTTTCCGCCCCATTTCTCGTAATTTCCAGATCTTGGTGCATGGGTGGCGCATAAGTGAAAATGTCTTGCCCAGCTCCTTTGAGTGGAGAATTTTCTTCTCATCCAATAAATCTCATAAAATAATTACAGGTGGAAACACGAGTATATATCATGAGTTGTAAATTCGATGCTTTTCATGGGTAACACTTACTATAGATTATCGTGGAAGTTCTACATATTGCTTGGGCGTTCCATAGTTTATTGACATTTGATCTAAATAGAAACAATAGAAGAAATCCTAGTGCATGCAAAAATGAGCCTAAAGAGAACAGGAAGAGAGAGATGGAATTGTTTTTGACAACCTAATTTGTAGAGCGATCAAGTTGTTTATAATCGCTAAGCCACATCAGTGAGTGAGTTTCAACATTATAAGCATACAAGCCAAGCCTGAGCAACAAGAAATGCCCCTAGTTGAAAGAAGAGGATAAACAACTCTAGTATCTCCAAGCTCAAGTGTTTCAAATCTCCTATCATCACTTCCACCCAGTCTCTCTCCACTGAAAACCCACAATCTCACTTTGAAATCCCAAGTTATCTCTATAGTCGCAACCTGATCACCCCACAAATGGGATTGCAAAAAATGGTTCCATCTTCCCTTTCCTATTCTCCTAGGGTTTGTTTTTGCACGCACCACAATTTCTTCTATTGTTTCTCTCAGATCAAAAGCTAGTAAATAATGGAATTCTCACAACAATAACTTCCCCAATAATTCATGGCAAGTGTTACCCATGAAAAGCCTTGATTCTGCATCCCATGGCAAATACTCATGCCTCCAACCCGCAATTGTTTTCCAATACTCATTCCATGAGAAGAAAATTCTCCACTCAAAAGCGCCAGAGAGGTTGCAAGGTTTCCAATGAAGGAAAATATCAGATGAGAAAATGAGGGCAGGAAACACAACATACTATTAATGCAAGCATTTTCTGTAAGCTGTTTTGCATGATGTAGTAAATGAGACCTTGCTTATTGGGACAAAAGAAAAGAGGGAAAGGTTGAGAGAGTGGGGAGGAGAGAAAGTGAGTTGTAGCAAATGAGGGTGCGGAGAGAGGTTCATTCCATGATCCGGTGATGGTTTTGAACCTGAGGATGGATTCGATAGACAAAAGTGCAATAGTTTGAATCATGAGATCATCAGGAAGGTCTCTAAAGAGAGAACCCATCTTGGTTGTCACTTGCGCTCCTTATGTTGCTCTTGGGACCTTGATGAAATGGACTTCTTTGTGGCCCTTAGACTGGTTCAAGAATACAAATATATACATGCACACACATTCTATCTCTCTCAATGCTATTTATGTGCCAAAGTTCCTTATCACTTTATGTTATACAAGAATTGAATACTAAGGCACTAGCTACCATGGAGAGAAATAACTTTGAGGCTTTGCACCTGGAAAGTAGATTTTGTCACTTTAACAAATTTGATGACATCCATCAATTTACAACTTCAAAAACAGTCAAATGACTTCCTTTCCCTTCTACATCAGATGAATTTTCTTCATTTGTGTCCTTATTGAAGCTTAGGTAGATTCTTACTTCCTTTTTTCTTTTTTTTCTGAGAATTCAGATCATTACATGAGTAAATTAGTACACCACTTAACCAAGGATCAGTTTCTTTCTTTCTTATGAATGAGATTCCTCGCAAACGTTTATTGCCAACTCTACTCCTGCAGCCATTCTCCTCTCCTTATTAGAGACCTGCACTCTAATGGCAGTATCCTAATAATCTGAGCTGTGAAACTAGGAGCTGAGAGGATGACAGGATGTTTTTCACCAAGGAATTGCCATTCTTGGTGGGAAGGAATTCTAGTACATGTTCATGCAACTAAGTGCTGCTCAGATAGGACTGCTGCCAACAATTTCTAAACAAAAACTGCACGTAATAAAAGGATCAGAGCTACTATCCATGACAAAGGACCTATGAGAGTTATCAGGCATCCCTAAACAGTTCTACCAATCTTAATAAACGGGCAAGGAGGTTCAAAAACATGCACTGCACCAAATGTTGCATCAGTGATATATAAAACCACATGATTACAGGCATGTATAGAATCCATGTAAAATATCTCTATGCAATATTTGGACTGCCAGATGGGCCCTTTCTTGCTTCACATGATACCACCCACAGGCTTTAGCAAACAAACCTGTTGTGATATCATGTCACCAGCATTCATAAATGAAATATCTAGCCTTGACTGATTATAAGAAGCAACGTAAAAACCCAAAGGAACATGCTCTAGCCTCTATTGATACCATCCACAAATGAAGTAAGTACCTACTCTGCACTGATTACAAGAACGGAAAGGAACATCCTCAGGAGAAAATGTTTCTGGAACACTCATAATTCATCTTTTACGTAGACGCAAATAACATTTGTCTAGGTAAAGCTTTCGTACAGATTTCAAAGAGTACCTTCCCTGGGTTTTAGGCCTTATAAGCACCACAAACCAATTTGTGACATGTGATGTCTGACTAAAACATTACACATAATAGAAAAACAAACAATTCCAATATTGCCAATGAATATGCAAGAAGTTCCATATTGATAGCAGAAGGCACAACTCGAAGCTAGAGAATAAGAAGCTCCTGATTATTTGACCATACAAGAAACTGAACCGAATCAGCAATAATAATTCAGAAATATAATACGTTAATATAGCCGCCAAAACAAAACTCACCTGCAATAAAATCAAAGCCATAGCTTCCCCTGCAGGTGCAAGGGACCCAATTTGCTGTGGGAACCATGTCGCCAAGAGAACCACGATTGCTGTTATGAATGGAATTCCACCACCTTGGATGCCAAACAATGTAGTAAAGAATGTACCAAACTTGCATATAGCAAGGGCTAAGGCAAGAGCTGTTGCAGTCTGCAACACTGGTAAGCTACCAGATTCGGCTTCCTTCTCCATTTCCTGCTCTGTCAAATTTGGGATAAGATGAAATTCCAAGAATAGAGAAAGGAATGGAAATATATCCTAGCAAAGCTCTTTAGAAAAGATTGTCACAAATACTATTTTGATTAAAAGATATTTTATAATTCACAGAGTCAGCCAGTTTTAAGTAGTCTTGAAATTTTGGAAACGAACTTTGAAACCAATCGAATATAAATGTAGGGTCCAAATGATCAGAGTAAAAAATAACGGTCATTCTCCACACGGGAAAGTAAACCAAATCCATTCTAGTTTTAATGGTTAAGTAATGGAAGGATACATGAATTTTATGTAATATTGAAATGATAAAAGCAGGAATGAGTACCATTTGTCAAAGTTGTTGTCTCAGGAGGTATTCCAGAGGCCAGTGCAAAAAGAGATGTGAAGTATATTGCACAAACAACATTGTCTGCAGCTAGTCCTGCTGCCAAAACTGATGGAGAGATAACTAAAGCCTTTGCGACCGCGACATAATTGATGGCTTCAAATGTACAGTTGGACAGTTTGGCACAGTTAGCCTTGTTATTTAGATTAAATTAACAATGTTCACAAGCCACATTTGAATGGAATCGACTTAAATCAATGCAAATTACCTATTCACATCATAGAAATTTATTGTTTTCCTGATAAGCTCATTATAGAAATATTTGCATTAAGGGGAATGTAAAACTAGCACACTAAAAGGAAAAGTTCAAGGAAATGTTCATTGTGTGACCGACACCCTAAGAGCCCAGTTTGTGAATTCATTTGAAAAAAAGAAAAAAAAATCCCAGGTTGGTCAAGAAACAGAAAGCAGAATTTGCCCAACCAGATAACAATAATTCCATTTCTTGATTATGTATATTTGGCAATTTCACTTCGGTATCTGAACAAATGAAGTACGCATTTGGATTGATTATAAATGCATAATATAGTAGAACACTCATCTCTTCACATTAGTCACTAAGACCTTGAATAACCTGAAGTATTTATGGGGCACAAAGGCTGCGAGATTTGAGTGCTATTTGATTCAATAAGTGTGGGAGACTTAGTTTGACTTCAAAAAATTGGAATCGTCCTCCGACTCAGTCTGTCACTGAACTGAGGCATTTGGATTGATTATAAATGCATATTACAGTAGAACACTCATCTCTTCACATTTGTTACTAAGAACTTGAATAACCTTAAGTATTTATGGGGCACAAAAGCTGCAAGATTTGTGCAAGAGTGTTATTTGATTCAATAAGTGTGGGAGACTTAGTTTGACTTCAACAAATAGGAATCCTCCTCCGACTCAGTCCGTTAGTGAACCGAGTAGAATGGAAATTCTGATCCAGATCACCAGATTTGTGGTGGTCAACTAATAATGAAATAAACAAATAAATAAAATAGAAAATAGGGAGTATGGGGGCCGGGTTCCTTGAGCAGCCCCCACCCCACCCTACCCCCACCCTCCCAAAAAAATAAAATACATATGGGAGAATTTGAGGTCAGCCCACTAGCTGACAGCTACAATAAACACCCAAGGGCCAAATTGAATCTGGGTCGATCCAATGAACACGATTGCACTTCGTATTTGAATTTTAATTTTTTTCTACAAATCCAAATCCCTTGAAATTTGGAGCGTTTATTCTAAAAAAATAGGTGAATCTAATAAAAATATCAAAAAATAAATTTGTAAAAACTAAATTGACCAAAATACCCCTAAAAACTTTTGGGGGTATTTTGGTCAATATATTTTTTGAATTATTTTTTTAAATATTTTTATTAGGTTCGCCTTGATAAGAAGAGTGGAACAATATAAGAAAAATTGAACCGAAATAGTTAACTGAACATGGGGCCGGAAGCGGTTACTCGGTACTAATCAGTAAACTAGCTGGTTCAACCGGCCTAACTGGGTAAGTCCCAGGTGGTCGAAAAAGCATTAAAAAAAAATATATAATAAAAAATATAATAAAATATGAGAAGTATATTTAAATCATGATTAAACAAAACACATCCAAATGAAGCTGAAAATTAATGAAAAATATGAATTTTAAAGATATATATATATATATATATATATAATATACCTAGCTGATTCAGGCAATTCTGAGGTGGCTTGAAGATATTTGAAACAGTTTTTTACATTGATTTTGGGCATCAGATTCTAAGGTTAATAAAAAGTTGAGCATGTAATGAAAATTTCTAGCCCACTTCTAAAAGTAGAAAGATTCAAGCACAAGGAGGTTCTTAAAGGATGGCTTTCTAAGCTGCCAATGCTTATCGTTTCGTGATGGTTGTTTCACCATTCATAAAAGTTTAGCCCCGAGGCTAAGTAGAAAGCTAGAAACAATTTCATGAACAAGGCCAAAACTGAATATCAAGCGACAACAGGTAATGTTCAGTCTATATTCTCCAAATGGAGGTATGCTGTAATCTATATTGCATGTAAATGAAATGGGAGAAAATATTCTATAATGCATGTGTTCTGTACGAATACTACATCCCGTTGTTTCATTGTATTTGTCGTTTATGTACAGGTTCTAAGCTCTTTGAAATTGGGGGAAAAATGCATAAAACCCCTAAAAATAGACTTTCTAGGCACTTTACCCACCCTAATTTTCTTAGCATATTTTTCCCAACAATCAAGTTTTATAGTAAATACCCCCCAATACAAAAAGTATATTTTTTTTTTATGAAAATACTCTTCCTGTACATAACAAATCATTTTGAGATCCCAATACAAGGAAACGCCGGACCACGGTTGTATATTGTCGGACCGGAAGTGTATACTGCCGGGCTGCCTATTCCAGACATAGTTTTCAATTTTGTTGGACCGTAGCTCACAAATACCGGACCGCTCATTAATCCAGAAACAAATGTCGAACTGCCTCTTCCAAACTCCGGACCGCCATGATGAAGTGTCAGACCGCCATGATGAAGTGCTGGACTGCCATGGTGAAGTGCCGGACCGTTCCAAATCAGTGACTTAAGCGCCGGACCTCCTCTTCCAAATGCCGAACCACCATGGTGAAGTGCCGGACCGCCATGGTCGTGTGAGATAAGGGAGGGGTATTTAAGTCTCTTTTTTTTGTTTTTTTTTGAGTTGGGAGGTATTTGCTAGGAAACAAGGTTTTGGGAAAAAAGTTGCTAGGAAAAGTTAGGTTGGAGGTAAATTGCTTAGAAAATCCATTTTTGGGGGTTTTATGCAATTTTCCCTTAAATTTATGTTGCAAACCCCATGGACTTTATAGCACAAAAGCAAACTTCACATAGACGATGTCCGACAAGCAACAGGCAGGCCATAGACGCATATCAGCGAACCATTTGAAAAGAATGAGTTCTAAATTATTCGTTATTTCATTGTTATAAGGCATCTTCAAAGGAACCTCCTTAATGATATGGTTAAAATATATAAGTATTATTTGCTGATATATTTGAGGCAACTAGGTGAGAGAATTTCACAGACAAATATATATTTAGAATGATGATATATCATACATTATCATTTCAAGATTTCTAAAATGCATTTTCTGAATCTTATTATTTATTCTAATCAAGTTCAAGAGATGCTAAAGGTGAAAACCATGAGCCACCATTGAGCAAAAAAGTTCCACCATTCCATATATGAATAGGAGTATACAACAAGCTAATGGCGAAAAGTCATGGTCAATCTCATCTCGATTACCTCCACCAATATGCCTACTCATAAGAGCTGCAGCAATTTTCCAGCTGTCATTACCAAGCGACCGCATGGGGACCAATAGATATGCTACAACCGTTCCAATTGTTGTTGCAACTGTTATAGACAGAAAATTAGAGGGAAACATCATCAATTGGCCCTGTTTAGACAAAGGGGGAGGATCAATCAGATATATATTCCCACTAGAACCACTACAAAATCTATGTGACATTAATATATACACCACTAAAAAACAGCAGAAATGATCCAATAAATGGTTCAGAAACTAGAACCTAAGTAAACAATTGCAGCAGCTACCGCGAAAGCTACCAAAGTTCACTGTTTACAATGAAGAAGCAATGAACAAATACTTGGAAGTCTACAAAAAATAGTATATAGACAAAAACGAAATGAATGAACAAATGCCTTGTAAACAAATAAACATCAAAACAAAAGAATAGCATAAAAAAACGAAACAACGCATCACCTGATCCAAGCAAGAAGGCCAAGAGCAGTGTCCCGGTTGATTGCACAAGTCTCCTAAGATCAGCTTTGAAGAGCAAAAGAGGAACAGATAAAGGGAGCAAATACTCCATGACAATTGAATAAGCAGGAGCTTCACACCCAATAATCCCCAAATTACTCGCTGCCAACGCAACCAATGTGCTAACCAGAGCTCCACTTAAAGCACTCCCAATCTTCGTGTTCTTCTCCGACCTAAAAAAAAGAAAATAAAAAAATTAAGAAGAAAAATCAAGTTTTTCGAGAGCGGAAAGGAAGAAGAGAGGAGAGAGCTGAGTTACCATAGTCCGAAAGCTCCAGCCGAGAAAATGGCGGTCCATGTACCCCAGTGATCGTTTGGAGAGATGAGAGGGAGGCTTTTAGGGGAGGAGATGATATGAAAGCTGAAACGAGCTCTGGTCTTAAATGATGGAAATCGAGTGAGTTTCTCCGAAGATAGAGAAGGGGTGGAGGTGTGTTGCCCTGTAGAGAGAGAAGTGGGAAAGAGGTGATCAGCAAAGGATGTGATGAGAGAGAAAGAGTTGTTAATTCTGTTGTTGTGGGAGAGTAGCGGAGACGTTGTGGTGGTTCGGTAGGGTTGGGGCAGTGGGCGAAAAGGGCGGAAGAATGCCATCAATGAGGAATAAACTCCTTTGGACACAAGTTACAGAAGTTGCATAGAAACAAGGAATAGTAATGGAAAGAGAAGGCGCGCTCGCAGTTGCAGAGAAGGAATGAATAAAAAATGGAGAGAGAAAGAGAGTAACGGTAGTTCCAGGGAAGGAATGGAGAGAGAGAGATGGAGTGACGTTGACTTGTTGGAGGTGGTGGCGTCAGGTCTGACGAGGCCTTTATTTATTTCGAGCAGGTGCATCACGGTTTGATTTCCATAAAAATGGCCAAAAGTTCGTGAACCAGAGCGTGTACTATGTTCCCGCAGGCCGATGCTGTACACTTATTCTGGGAAGCATAGTTGTTTCATGCCGGCTTGGCTGCATTTTTACGATATATGGTCTAGAGATATAAAACATCTATCTGATATATAGATGTAAATAAGTAGTCCATCTAAAAATAATTGTAATTAATTATTCAAATATTTTTTTAATATAATTGTTATTTTTAATTTTCAAATTTTATTTACTTTTCATATTCATAATCTAGATTATATATTCTCTAAAAATTAAGATCCAATTATATTTCAAAAAATATATTTAATGCCATGCCCGCATTTCTAGAGGTGTAGGCTTGGCTGCGTGCCAGGGTCACTATGTTCAAATGAAAAAAGTGCGATTTTAAGATTTCTAGCACTTCAATCTCATGCATCAAACTTGGGCCAATAGCTTTTTAAAACCATGTTGAAAATACATATCTATATATATATATATATATATATATATATATATTTTAAATTGGGAAAGGTAGATCCTAAGAACCGGGGGTTATACCTAAGGAATAAATGGACAGTCTACTGCCTCATGATCATGGTTTTTTTTGGCGCAACGCAATGTTGTACCTCTCTCTGGTCTCTAGACCGCAGCCTGCACAAAGCGGGTAAGGGCCGGCATTGTAATTAAAGATTCAAAAGATCGTATAAAGGAAAAGTTTATATAAAGTTGAGGTCCTAAACAATCAAATTAAGGAGCAAGATATATGTATAGATATAAAAATAAGTACAGTAAATTATAAAAAAGTAGTGTGGCTTATAATGTATTATCTAAGCCGTCAATTTTAAAGATTTTCAAATTCTCATAGATATGCTTGATATACATTATTTTTGAATCTTCAAAATTTATAATTAGATATGAAAATAATTTTTCAGATAAAGATTTTGATATGGATGTGGTTTGCATGAGGTTGCAACCCTAAACAATCCAATTAAGGCCCACCTCTAAATTTTATCATAAATGTAATTTTGATATAAAAAATTCTTAGGATGGCTTGAGAATCTATTTTCATCTCTAATTATAAAAATTTTAACTATAAAATGATTCAAATCAAGTAGATTTATAAATACATAAAAATCTTGAAAATAGACGATCCAGATAATGTATTGCAAAATACACTATTTTGCGGACTCAAAATCCTTTTTTCTTTTCATATTCATACATCTCGATGTTGACATGATCAATAGAGGGTTTTCCAACATCTAAACAACTTTTTATGATGGATTTTTGATGTACAACTTTAATTATACATTTTAAGCTTGCAACCTTATATAAACTTTTTCCTTAACAACATATTTCAATATTATTTGAAGGTGTGCCTTACTTTGAAGGTGTGCCTCGGCCTTCTACAAACCACAATCCCCAATAAAACCGGGCGTTGTAATTAAAAGAGAGAAGCATATATACCAGATGACCTATTTCAGAGGATTTTTTCGATTTGAAAATTTGAGAACCACTTAAGTATTACTAGATGATTATTTTCAAAAAAGTTTTGAAATTTTATTTTTTGAACATTTAGATCTGGCTATAACAATTAGATGGTCACTATTCATTCTCAATACATAATCTTTTGGGTGAGGTTTGTATAAGGTTCCCAAACTTATACTATACAAATAAGCTCACATCTAAATTTAATTGGAAGATATAATTCTGGTGTTGAAAACCTTATTACGATTTGAAAATTCTTATTTAACTCCTAATTATGAAATTTAAAATTCTAAAACCGGTGCAGATTGAGCAAATCTATACATAATTAACAATCTTGAAAATAAAATGTCTAGATAACTTGTTACAAAATGCACTATTTTTAACTTCTTCTTTTTTATTTATATCTATAGATCTTTTAAGTACACCTTACTTTTAGAATAAAAGGTTGCAACTTTTTTTTTTTTTGATATGTAAAAATGATAAGTCAATGGGGATTTGAGCCCCCCTTTGGTGAAAAAGGAGTTAGAGACGAGAAGTACCCCTATTGACCATGTTTAAAAGAACGAACAGAGAGAGGAATGCTTCCTTTAACTATGCACAAAAAAAAGAAAAATTAATGCTATAGAAAAGGATAAAGCTTATATAAAGTTCTCTTTATATTATAGAAGTCAGGCGCATCTCTAAAATTTGCTTAGACATGTTGCTCAGGTGTTAGAAATTTTATGATGGCTTGAAAAACTATATTTGTCTTTTAAATAAAAATTGTACAGATCGACTACATCAATAAACACTTAAAAATATAAAAAATAGACAGTTGAGATGATTGTTACAAGTCTCAGTATTTTTTTAACTTGAAATTCTTTTTTTCTTGACGTCCATACAACTCGAGGCCGGGATAATTATTGAGGGCTCCCCAATGCGGGAACACAATTTTTTATAGGATTTTTAAGGTGCATCGTAGCGTATGTATGGTAAGGGAGCATACATAACCTTCCCATGTTTATAACGGGATGCGGCCCTATCACAATAAGGGGGTTTAAAGTCCTGCCATTGCAGCGAAGTCGCATCCCAAACCTATGTGGGGATGAATCCCAACATTCCGCAAAGGATTCCATACCGGAATTCCACTTCTATAAGGCTTAGGCTTTATGAAAACCAAGTAAAGCCTCAGCTTGGATCCTCGTCTAGAAAGCATTTTGAGCATTGGAAATCGGATCCTTGTCTAGAAAGCACTTTGAGCATTGAAAATCGGATCCTCGCCTAGAAAGCACTTTGAACATTGGAAATCTCTATGATAGCTCTAAAATCAACTTCCAACGGTGATCATAAAATTTGAAGCTAAAAAAATGTTATAGATCTTGTGAATCCACTTTCACTTATTTTTAGGCAAAATGAATGGTAAATAGGCATTATTTTTAAAGCTTGAAATCCTAATTATTTTTCACATCATTATGGTGATCGATTTGAATATTTTTCAACACTGCATAGCAATTTTTTTGTGAATTTTGAAGTGATGCAGTACTTATTTTAATAGGGTTGCAGCCCTGTCAAACATTTTCCTTCCAATAAAGTAGGGTTTCGGGTAGTGTTCGACTGATGAGCCAACTTGGACTGATCCGAATAACTCGGGCTCGCCACTCTAGCAAGCTTGAGTATCTCGAGTTTGGTGGTCAAGCTCAGAATCTTAAAAAAAAATAAAAAAATAAAAAAAACTGAAAGAACAACAAAAAAATATTTTGTGATATGATTTTTTGTATTTTCTATCATTTTGGCAAATACTAGGAAGAGTTGGGAATGAATATTTATTTTTACATTTTCCCTTCTTTAATTATTTCAAAAATAAACCAGGTCATAAATTGATTTTTTCAAAATCCATGTTTCACCATTTTTTTTTAACCTCCTCATTTACATGTATTTTGTTTAATTTTACTTTAAACATATTTTTTATATTTTTAAATTTTTTTGTGTTTTTTATTTCTTAATACTTTTGGCTTGTCCAGACCTACCCAACTCGACGTGAGTTACTCGTACTTAGCCCAGCCCAAGGCCGGGTTACGGGGCCGAGTCGTGCTTTACGACACTGGTTGCAGGCTTGCAGCCCTCCTTACTTGAATAGTCGGGCATCCTCCCGTTACTTCCACCGCATTCATATTTTCAGCATATTCTGATGTGGGTGCGGTTTGTACAAAGCCTAGGCTGTAAACAATCAAATCAGAGCCTACCTTCAAATAATATCGAGAAATGTGGTTTTAATATTGAAAATATTTGTGATAGCCTTAAAATATATGTTCATCTTTATTTATAAAGTTTAAAGCTTCGAAAATAATGTAAATCAATAGATCTATAAAAACTCGAAAACTTAAAAATTGACCGTCTAAAAATGAGTTACAAAATACACTATTTCTAAAACTTGAAATCCATTTTTTTCTCATGTCTATGCATCTTGATGTCAAGATGATCAATTTGAAGATATTTGGACATCAAAACAACATCTTATAGTGTAATTTTTTTGGGTAGGCTCAAATTTGATTGTTTTGAGCCTCGGCTCTATATAAACTTTTCCCTTCCGATTTTCTACTTAGTATTTCCTCATTGTCAAAAAATTAAAAAAATTAAAAAAACATATCAAAAGTAGTGCATTATTGTTTTTTTTATTTTTTTCCGGCTAAAACGTTGCGCCTAATGATGAATATATTATAGTCCATGTGACAGCGTGAAGCGTGATTTTAACGTGGGTCTCACCCTCGCTCTCCATCACCCTCAAATCCATTCCTTAGACGGTGGTGATTGTGATGACCAATTATTACATGAGGCTCATGGCATATGCCCTGCTCTCTAGTCTCAAATGAAGTTCAAATGCGAGAATACCAGAAAACTAGTAGGTTTCTCCATGGATGAAGAAGCTCAAGCTCCTTCCCTATCCAAGCTGCATAGTAGCAAGGCATCATACCCTTGTGCGTGTTCTCCACCCAAAAATACGCTACAAAAAACCCATCTCAACATGCCAGAAAATTCTTTACAGAGATCAAAAGACATGGCATTCTTCCACTGTAATAGACTCCCTCATGAACCACAACCTCTACCCCCAAGACATAACAGCTTCAAAATCTTCTCTCTCGGATCAATCTCTCATGCCCCAAATCTATTGCTACCTCATCAAGTCATCTTTTCCCTTGAACAAATACCAGAGCTCCTCATTGGTAAACATTTTTGCCAAATATGGTAACCTGCAACTTGCACATGAGCTTCTCCTCAACTCACCAGACACAGATACTGTCTCTTGGAACTCCTTAATTTCAGTTTATGCAGATATAAAAGATACCCATTTCTCATTTGGGTTGTTTGATTCACTGCAGCGTACAGGCTTAAGACCTGATGTATACACTTTGAGCACACTTCTTAAGGCCAGCTGTGAACTTGGAGAGATCGAACAAACCCATGGCGCCATTATAAAACTGGGTTTTGTTCAGAATGGATTCACAGGAAGTGGGCTCATTGACAATTACTCGAAAGCAGGGGAATTGGGTTTGGCAGAGAAATGTTTTGAGGAGTTCTTGGCTTTTGATTCAGTGGTTTGGGCCACCATGATTGCAGGCTATGTGAGGAATGGACACTCAACGAATGCTGTCAAATTATTTGAAGAAATGCATAGTTTAGGCATGGTAGTAACCCAATTCAGTCTTACAAGTGTACTCAGTACTATTGTTGAAATGGATGAAAATATCAAAGGGCAACAGATTCACTGTTTGGGCATAAAGCTGGGTTTATTATATGGGTTTTCTTCCGTCTGTAACTCTCTTTTGAGTATGTATTGCAGATGTGGGTTTAAAACTGAAGCTGTCGATGTTTTTGAGGAGATGGAACAGCCTGATATTGTCTCTTGGACTGCCCTTCTTGGAGCTTATGATGGAGAGCAATGTATCAAAGTGTTCAAGAATCTGTGTAGGAGTAAAATGGAAATGAATGAGTACACTATGATCAATGCCTTGTCAGCAATCGGGAGCTCAAAGCTTTTGCTAGAGGGAAAACAGCTTCATTCTCTTTGTTTAAAAGCTGGGTTTGGGTCTTTTGTCTGTGTAGCCAATGCATTGGTTTCAATGTATTCAGGTTGCATGAGAATCGATGATTCCCGAAAAGCGTTTGATGAAACAGACGAAAGAGATGTCATTTCATGGAATGCCATGCTTGCAGGCTATGCAGAAAATGGGTATTCTGATCTAGCTTTTACAACGTTTTCATGGATGAATTGGGTTTCAGTGAAACCCACCAAAGCCACATTTTTTAGCCTTTTGGAAGGAATTGCAGGGCTCCACGAAGCTGTAAAAACAGTGCAAATCCATACCCACATGATCAAATTGGGTTTTCTATTGGACAATTCCATTGCCACTTGCTTAATAACAGTGTATGGCAAGTGTAGCTTGGTAGAGAAATCAAGGCAAGTTTTCTATGAGATTGCAATGAAAGAAACTACATCCATGAATGCATTGGTGGCTGCTTTCGTCCAAGCCAGTTGCTTTGCTGATGCACTAAAACTATTTCAAGAGATGAGGAATTCTTTAATTGCAATAAATCAGACCACATATAGCATTGTTGTGAAGGCTTCCACTGCCTTGACAGCATTGGATCAGGGCAAGCAAATTCACTCCCTTGTACTTAAATCAGGGTTTGAGAATGACAAATTTGTGGGAAGCTCCATCATTGACATGTACTGCAAGTGTGGGAGCATCAATGATGCAGCAAAGGCCTTTGAGAAACTAGCCAAAAGCAATGTGGCTTCATGGAATGCAATGATAACAGGATATGCTCAGCATGGATGCTACAATGAGGCTCTTTGGTTGTTCGAGAGGATGAGTGGTGAAGGAATGGATCCAGATCAGATCACATTCCTGGGGGTTCTTTACGCATGTTGTCATAGAGGCCAGGTTGCTATGGCCAATTACTACTTAAACTCAATGCTTGAATGCTGTAATGTTGTGCCATGCTTGGAGCACTATGCATGTGTAATCGATCTTCTTGGAAGACATGGGAAACTCAATGCTGTGAAGGATTGTATTGAGCATATGCCTTTGAAGCCTGATGCTCGAATTTGGCAAATGTTCCTCTCAGCTTGCACTATTCATGGCAATTTGGAGCTTGGGAAAGTGGCAGCAAGAGAGCTAATCTTGTCGCAACCTGAGAATGATGCAGCTTATGTGTTGCTTTCAAACCTCTATGCTTCAGCTGGGATGTGGGATGATGTTAGGAAGATGAGGAAATTGATGAGAGAGAAAGCAGTGAGGAAGGATCCTAGTTATAGTTGGATACAAGTGAAGGGGACTGTACATTTATTCTATGTAGCTGATAGCTCCCATCCTCAAGTTAGGGAGATATATGCAAAACTAGAGGAATTGAATGGTCATATGAGTTTCAAAGATGAAACATAATCATGTGTCTTTCGTTTCTTTTTTGTTTTTTGTTTATATTATTTGATAAAAAATTGAAACCTACTTCTTTTTTTTAATCTGTTAATGTTTGTATTAAGTATAGAAAAAGTATGCAAGCTAAGAAAATAGGCTTCCCACCGCCGGGAGCTTTATACGAAAACCACTGGGAGGGTGGACTTCCCAATGTTAGGTCAAAATGCTATACATCCCTGGGATAGAGTCAAAATGAAAGAGGAAGGGGAACCAAGGGCTCCAAAAGGTTCCAAAAAGGTTCCCTGTGTGCCAACTCGAGTAGCTCCTCCTTTAGAGTATGTCGGCTTCTCAGTTGGCCCCACACACGTCTCCATGAGACTTGCATAGGCCTGCAAATGTGTAAGATTTCAAATACATGTGCTAGTCTCTAGGGGCAGACTAAGGAGTCCGAGGCTTAGGAGATGACATTTTTGGAACCCCCCTCAATAATCAAAACTGGACTCCAGGAGGGTTTGAAGTTCTTCATACTTCCAAGAAGGGGAGAGCCTCTGCTGTGTGAGAGTCAGCATGGCCGATGGATTTAGAGAAAGAAAGGAAGGTGTGTCCTTCATTGGCTCTGATGATGCGGTCCAGGTTGCCTAGAGAACAACTGTCAAAGTTTAACTTGGATTGGCCTGGTTTGGGAGGTCTTCAAAATGAGGCTTGAGGAAAACTGGAGGGCGTCAAGTGCAGCAAGTCCTGCCGAACTTGGTGACAGTCTGTATAAGAGAAGTGTTGGAAGCAACTGTGATTTTAGTCCAAAAGATGACCATCATTCTGACTGGGTCTTTCAAGACATCAATAGTTGCCTTCTCACCTCGGAAGGTCATGTGGTTGCTCTTGGTCCAGATCACCCACAGAGTGGCTGCCACGGAAGCCTTCTACAGTAGGATACTAGGCTTTGGCCAAGGAAGAGGGCGAAGAGAGCCAATGAGGTATGGGACTAACCTTGAGGTCACACATGACCAGTTGAAGAGAGGAAGAAGCTTCTCCCACAGATCCATCGCCAAATTGCAGTGGATGAATAGTTGGGCGTTGGTTTCTTCGTCCGCTGTACACCTCACACATCTATTGGGGATTGGCAGTCCCCTTCTTTGAAGCTGGTCCACTATTAAAACTTGGACAAAGCTATCCAGTTAAAGACTTGGACTTTTGGGGGTATTAAAGAAAACCAAGCCCTTGCGGCGATGGAAGGGGGTAAAGCAGGAAATGTTGGAGGGATAAGAAGTTTGCAGTAGAAAGAGGAGACCAAGAAATAACCTGAGGTGACAGGAGACCAGATTATCTTATCCTCACCTTGGGTGGTGAGGTAAACAGATTGGAGGCAAGACAGATCAAGGAACCCGTCCAACTCGTGGTCTGCAAAGGGCCTCCTAAACCAAATTCTTGAGGAGCCCAAGGTGCCAAAGTGTTCGGTGGCTAAAGTGTGATAGTTCTGCGCAAGGAGAAACATGTAGGAAAATTGTTCCTTCCGGGAGGAATGGCCTATCCAGAGGTCGGACCAGAATTTCTCTATTCTTGAGGGCTTGAGGTGGTACTTGTGGCGAAGGACCTGTTGCAACAAGTGGCTATCTTGGGTGACAAGACACCACCACCGCTTACCTAGGAGGGCCAAGATGTTTCTTTCAAGGCTATGGATTCCCAACCATAAAGGTTGTTTAGGCAAACAGACTTTATCCCAGGAGATAAGGTGATACTTTTGGTGCCCCTCTCACCCGACCAGAGAAAATTCTCAAAAGTTGCTTGAGTCGAGAAACTACCAAGGCGGGCGTGTGGAAAAGCGACATGGAAAATGGGAACCTTCAAAAGGGTCGCCTTTTATGAGGGTAATTCTACCAAAGAGAGAAATCTGCCCTTCCAGCCAGCCAGCTTTCCGGTCAAATTTATCGATAATGTGGCCCCACTGCTGCTTTTTGGGCTTATCGACACACAGGGGCAGGGCCAAATAGGTTGAAGGCAGGTTTTTAACTTTGTATCCCCACATATCAGCAAGATCCTAGATGGATACGTTGAACCTTATTAAAAAAAAAATGATCCTGAATAGCTTGGGCCTCTAGGATGCAACTATCATTTTAGATTTGGCCATGTTCACCCTAAAGCTAGTGGCCATCTGGAAGCATTTAGGAAAAGAAGGGAGTTGACCTGCTGGCTGGTTGCTCCACAAAAGAGGAGGGTGTTTTCGTTGAAACCAACTTTGTTAAAGATTACCAATTTTCTTCCTAGAGAAGATTTAGGAATTGATGGTCGACCATTCTCATAGAGATGCATACTAATATTATTTGACAAGATGATATGAAATGAAAATAAAAGACCTTTGAAAAAGAAAAGCAAATAAAAAAAGGGAAAGGCTAAAGAAGAAAAGGTTGCCATCCATTCTTAAGAAGACAAGCAATGCTTTCCATTTTTCTGAAATGTGTGACAAACAATTATGAAACTCGCCATAGTTAACCAATAGTTAACCAACAGTGGCGGTTGAGTGGTGCTGGGAAGTTTCTTTAAATGACCAAACTTGACCCCATTGAGTCAAAGCGGGATTCATTCGATCTGGCCATGTTGAATGAGTTTTACTGTCCTCTTGACAAAAAAGGACCCATCAGGTTCACCTGGAAACAGCAGAGAAGCCAACCTGCCCTTCTATTTGTGATAATCTATATAGAAAAGTTCAACTAGCGCTTTCTTAGGACAACTGATTACTCAGAATAAATAACATAAGAAGATTTAGTGATTAACTATTATTAAACAACTTAAATAAAATAACTCGATAACTACAGCTTCTCGTAACTAATCTTGCCCTCTCACTCAAAAAAGGAACTAAAAATAAAATAAACTGAAGCAGAGATAGAAACACACAGGGGGAATAAAAGAAGTTAGACAGGGATATTGCAACAAAAGGAACAAAGCGAATCAAAGGACACAGGTTTTCCCACTTCGTAGGTGGCAAACGTTTGCAAACATTATTATATGGTTTCAAAGGAGGAAACACCATGGAGGTATAAATATGTCAAAGCAGAAATTTGGATTACATGCAAGTTTCAGATGTTGATTATATAAAGAATGAACTTCACAACCAAGAGCAGAAATAATTTTAAGGAAAACAGATTTTTGCCTACTCGGTATTTCAAGACTGTAATTTTAAGTCCTCACAAATCCTTCCTTAAGATGCTTTTTTGGAATATTTGTAGAAATTTATTTAATGAGTCATGAACGTCATGTAAGAAACTTCACGACATCCAAGTTCTCAGATATCAACAACTGGGGTTACAGAACCTTCACTGCACACATCGTGTACAAAGTTACAAATCCCTTATTTATCCATGACTAAAGAATATTTTTCACATATTTATCTATACTGTATTACAGGTCATGGTTATGTTTCTTTAGTGTTCTAACACATATATCTGCTGTACTTAGAATGTCTCATCCTAATAGATAAGTTTGAAATCTCTCTTCTGAAGAATCATGCTATAAATTTTAATGAACTCAAGGAATCCAGAGTTCAATTTTCCTGAAGTCTTTGAAGTTTACAATTGTCGACAACTTCAAAAGTTAGGACCAATAGAAATCAACATTTTGAAAGTCTGAGAGTCCTGTTAGGAGTCAATTTTCTTGAAGTCTAGGTGTCATAACCCAAATCTCTCTCTATTCAGACCATGCATTACACATGTCAAAAACAATATAATTCTCATGCACTATACAACCATTAAGCGTTCATTCAATTTCTCCTTGATAATTTGCCATTGAACATTAATTTTCTACTCTAGCAACATTTTCATCAGATATGTGGCAGCTATGAACAATGAACTACATTAAACCTTGATAAAAAGATCATGCAGTTATTTTTCGACTTCAATTGTTGGTTCCGTCATACAGGGAACTACCGAGCTCACCACCATGCCTCCGTATAATTTGAGCTGCTTGCAACAACACATCTTGCTCTGCAGAGAATAACTCAACTTTGCTCTGTAGTCAAAGCCAACAAAACAATGACTATCACCTACAAATAACCCTGAAGTTCAAACCAAGATGGCTTCTTACAAATTTCAAGAATTTGTGTACATCCATTCTTTTCTTTTTGTCCAAGTGTAAATCATATTTTTTGACGTCCGATGTTTATAACATTTTCTCTTCCTTATTTTTTACACAAATGACTGGTATATTTTACACAACAACAAAAAGTCTTACCTACTCCAGGTGGAGGCAACACAAACATGGAAGAGTATAACTTAAATATCAAGAGTTTTTGAACAATAGCTATTCATAAAATAAAAAGTACCTAAAATAAAAAGTACATAAAAATAATCTAAGATGAAACACCTTCAAATAGAACCATACAAGGTTTAAAAAAGTGAATTGGTGAGTCAAACTGATCACCCACCAGTCCGAGTCGAACACGACAAATTGCCGTGTTGGCCAGTCCTTTCCTAAAAAACAAAGAGAGAGAGAGAGAGAAAGGAAATAGAGCAAAAAATAGCCGAAGTTAAAATATATATATATATAATTGAAGATTGACAAGCACCAATTTGATTTCATATAGTAGGAAGTATAAATCAAATCAAAGTCACAAAAATTAATGTCAAAATCAACTTGGGAAGAAAATGACAGGATGAAATGGCCGGAAAAAAAAAAAACCAAAAAATCAATCATTGAAAACTTTGGTTTTGATTAAATGACTTTGTTATGCCTTTTGTAGATCAACATCTTAGGAATATTTTGGGACAAAATTGAATGAATTTGGTGAAAGAACGAGAGAGATATTGACGATTTTCAATTTCGGCTTCAAGAAAACTCTTAAGTTTGGTCTCTCGATTTCTCCTATTTTGCTTTGTGATCCAAAAAATTGTTACAGGGTTTTGGTAGAGGGCTCCAATACCAACATTTGTATCAAATTGCAGGGAATGCGGATTGGGTTTTAGGGCTCAAAAATGACGACATTTTTATGAAAAAATCTTGCCCTAATGCAATTTTTTATCAATAGAAAGAGTTTTTGGGGTAAAAGTGGTAGATTTGTGTCCAATTCGATCGAAATGGAGGTTACAGAGGGATTATTGGTTCAAAAGAGCATTTCAAGACAAAAAGGGGTATCAGGCGACTTGCCCAGGTCAACGAGAATAGACAGGTACCCTACAGGTCCCAAGCCGACCCAAGCAATGCCAAGTCAACTCAGCTACTTTTTAAATAATGGAACCAAAACATAAGGAAATTTATGTGTGCTCGAAGGGTGAGAAACATGTAAACTAATGCATAAGAAAAAAAAAACCAGTAATTTTGTAGTAAACTCCTTTCAGAAATGATTTAGGAAATGATATAAATAGTAACAGTTCATTTTCCTCAAAATCCAATAGTTTTTTTTAAGCTATATTAAATTCATGCCTTCAAAAATTCAGTTTTTAGAAGTCGAAACTTTTCGAAAATACCAGTTTTAAAGGTAGATGTTCATGCAAAAAGATCACATTTGTCTAGCAAAGTATGAAAAACATGACTGAAATATATTGATTTGATACCAAATAATAAGTTGGTCTTAGCATAAGCAAGGGGAATAAAGACAACATCATGGCCTATTGGCATTATTTCATTCTATTAATACATTACTTTCATATAACTGAATAAAAGATAACCAATTACACCACAGTCTAGCATACACTATAAGATTCAGGTTAGAACTAAATTGATTAAGGTGATGATGAGTGCAATAATTCATCTTTGAATCCTAAAGCTGAACTGCCAAAATAAATAAATAGAAGACACTATAGGCATCAAATATCAAGTTTCATACCATATGTCTGAAGGTGCACCCAATGGTCAGTTCTGCATATGAATGTCCAATACGAGAAAGGAAACAATAAGGGGGCCCATTTTCTAAAGAAGCTTTAGCATTGTTTTCAAGCATGCACTTTATATCCTGTGAAATTTGGGGAATCCTCTCAATATCATGAATACGGATGGGGATTTTAGTTACGATGGCACGTGAATGGGCACGAGATTTGTTCATAATCACCTGCAAATAGCATTCAAGAAGCACCGATCTGAATATTTAATGCAACAAACAATGCTCACACTTGACTTCTCATTAGGTAACATGAATGAGGAAACAAACATCAGGTCTATTGAAAAAGTAAATTTCAAAGCCCTAGAAACAATAGATTGTCAAAAAACCTACAATTGTTACATATTAGGAGAGACCTTATGCAGTTGAGAATAATAGAAAGATTTCTACACATGGATACGATGTTGAGAAACGGATTTATCTCGACACACAGCCTTGAGCCAAAATCACCAAGTATTTTTTGTCATAATTGGTTAGGGGTATTATTTATCATTTTGTATACTGTTGTAACTTATGCTTGTTTTTGTAGTTCATGTTCATTGTAAAGGATAAATATGTAAATTCCGGATTTATTTGTACCTTTGTCTGACCCTCAATTAATTAAGGCTATAGAGTAATATAAATATATATCTTTGAGTGCAGCTACTCACTCTTAAAGGAATTAGGAGTCACGTTACTCTTCTTTTGGCTTTCTCCCAATCCATTTCTACTTGTAACACAACCTGCTTTTCTCTCTCATGTATTCAAGGTGACATTTTAACATGGTACCAAAGCAAGGTTCAATCATTATGTGACCCATTGATCAAAGGTATCAAGATCTCTCTTTTATCTCTTTTCTTTGTCATTCGTTATTTAGATTGATCACGCTATTGTCAATATTGATGTGAAACCATAGATCTAACCCCTTAACTTGGATATCTAGACCTCTCTTAACCCTAAATCTCTTCTTCTCTCTAAATCTCTTATTTAACCCAATTTCTTGATTTTAATGTGGCTAGTAAACCCTAGTTACTATTGACATGAACAGTAAATCCTATTTACTACATTAACAGTAAATCCTAGTTAATGTTCACATGAACAGTAAAATCCAAGTCAATTGACTTGTCAAGGATCAAGAATTAATTGGGTGGATTAATTCTACATTGTCAAAAGATATATTGGAATAAATGGTTGATATAGACCCTGCTGAAAATTTGACTTGTCAAGGATCAAGCTAGTCTAATGAGCATGAGACAGAACTTTTGAGTTGCAAAACGGAAAATAAATCTATGTATAACTGGCCAAAATTAAAGGAATATACAATCAGCTTTCTATGATTCAACATCTTGTTTGTGATACTGACAAAGTGTACATTGCCGTCAAGGGTCTTGGAGATCAATATGAGACTTTTGTGGTGTTACCTCGAGACCACCACTTTTGCAGAATTACATCCTCTACTTCTTCAACATGAAGGTATGTTCCGTACTAAAAGGACAGCAAAGTAATTGAGTGCAAATTCTTATGATGTTTTGTTTACTAAGAACAATTATTCATCTCCTAGGAATGGCTTTCATGGAGGTAGAGGCAGAGGAAAATATGACAAGAGGACATGGTGGTCGTGGTAGAGGTGGATTTTACGGAAATAGTGTTGGGCGCAACATCATACCTCCATTAGTGATAATAGCAATGGGAGTTCCAGTCGTGGGAATAGTGGTATAATGTCAGATTTGTGGAAAACATAACCACTCAGACTCTAATTGTTATAATAGATATGATGGAAACCAGGACCACAATATGCAAGCAACCAGCATGATGCTCTAAATACACCTATTGATAAAGTCGTGAGTACTGAAAGTGGAGATGATAATGTTGCAGGTCAACTGGCTGCATTGAATATATCTATGTAGAATCTTGCCATTACATCTCTATTTAAAGCTACATGGATCGTTGATAGTGGAGCAACCAACCATTTGACAGGAAACTCAGGTATGTTCTTTTCTCTTGTCTCTTATTTAAATAGTGGGTCTGTTAGAACTGGAGTTGGGTCCTCTCACCACATTACACATGTTGAGAAACTCGTCACTTAGTGTTTCAAAGGTCCTATACATCTCAAAAAAGTTTTCCTTGTCCTTAATTTTACATGTAATCTTATTCTTGTGTCATAGTTGGCTAGCGAAAATCATGTCCTCTCTGTATTTACTCCGGATTGTATTTAATTGGAGGGCCAACTATCGAGGATTACGACTTGGAGAGTTGCACACAGTTGATGATCAGTCAAAGAAGTTCCAAACTTTAGTAGTGTCTTGTCACGTTAATAAGGATGCCACTGTGTGGCATCATAGATTGGGTCATTGGAGTAAATGACTTGTTTAAATAAGGACTTGTTTCCTCCAATATTGATTGTCCTACTGAGTTTATTTCTCAGGGTTGTCAGCTGGAAAACATGTCAAGTTACCATTTGTTTCTAGTAATAAAAGAGCTTCTTCTCCATTTGAGTTAGTGCATTTTGATGTATGGGGCACCAAAGGTATCTCCTTCCAATTCCCTTTGTTATGTGATATTTGTTGATGATTTCTCTAGGTTTACAGATTTTCTTTCTTTATAAAAAATCTCATGTGTTTGAGACATTAAGCCGTTGCAAGTTGTTTGTTGAAAAGCACTTCCGTACATAAATTGGGTACTTTCATAGTGATGGCGGGGGAGAATACTCATCTCAAATGTTCAAAATTACTTAAGGGACAATGGTTTTGGCAACAGATTTCTTGTCCTTATACTCCACAGCAAAATGGAGTGGCGGAAAAGAAACATTGACATATAAATAAAGTTGGATTATCTCTTATGCTTTTTAGTGTAGTTCCAAACTTTTTATGGACTGATGCTTTCCAAACAGCTACTTCTTTTTTGAAACTGTTAACATTGTATAGATGGAATAGAGGTTAAGGACCACCATTCCAAACAGCTACCTTCTTCATAAATAGACTTCCAACCTACGTATTGGATGGTAAAATCTTCATAACATACACTATTTGGAAAAACTCCTGATTATTCTATCTTGAGGAGGTTTGGATGTTGGTGTTATGTCCATATTGAAAGTAGCCTTAGAAATAAACTTGATCCTAAGGCAGAAACAGGCATTTTTTGCAGGTTACTCAGATGATCATAAAGGCTATAGATGTTACTGTCCCTAAACAAATACAATTTTTATATCTAGACATGTAACATTTAATGAGTTGAAATGTTTTCTCCTCCAAAGAATGATATTTGCTATGAAAATACGTGTCTGAAGGAAAGAGACAAACACAAGAATAACAATGTACCTCTCTCCATAAGTTGACATCAGATAGAAAAAAGACAATGTTGATAGAAAAAAGACAATGTTGAGGAAGGTAGAAATGATGAAGACATTGTTCCATGTAATCCAAGAGAAACTTTCTGTAAACAAGCCAAAGTAGGACGCAATGTTCAAAAAGGCAGAGGCAGCCAAGGGCCTGGACCGCCTAGGCGGAAGGGCAGCCGCCTATGTAGGCGCCCAGATACCTGGGCGGCCTTAAGGGAAGGGGTTGGGTTAGGGGCCATATGTTGTTTTGTGTGTGTGTATGTTTTTAGCGCGTGTGTGAGTGAGGTCTCGCATGAAATTCTTAAAAATCCTCTTTTTTTCTTTTATTTCTTTTGGATCTATATTTGTAAGAGAGAGGTCTCGAACACATGGAGGATAAATCAAGAGAGGGAGAGAGAGTCAGTGAGAGAGAAGGACCTCGCATTGAACACTTGAAAGTCATCTTCTTCTTACATGTAAAGAGGGAGCATACGGGTCCATGTCTATTTTTGTGTGTATGTGTATGTGTGTGTGTGTGTGAGAGAGAGAGGCTGCACATCAAACACTTGGAGTCCTTCTTCTTCTTCTCATATATAAAGAGAGCACATGGACCCGAGCAAGAGAGAGATAGAGAGAGAGAGAAGGGCAAGCCCAGACCTTATTTTTGTTTGGGTAGATTTGAATTTCTTTTTTTTCTTTCTTTTTTTTTTAAGGGATGGCACTAGGTGGGCACCCGCCTAGGTGCCGCGTTAGGCATGCCCAAGGTGAAGTCAGTGTGTACAAAAGAAGTGCTAAGATAAGGCAGCAAGTGAGCACATCAGAAAGAGCAGCAAATGAACACAAAAATCTGCTCATAGAGCATCTAAATCAGCTAAGCACTCCAATTGACGCAAATGTTGAGGCCACTTCATTGAGGAGGTTGACTCGCATTAAACATCCGATTAAAAGATGGGTGGTTATGGAGGTCTAACTCATGAATATCAAGTATTATGAGTGAGATACCTAAAATCAGCGAGCCATCAACATACTTCAAGGGAACAAAGGATAAGTGGTGGAATGAAGCTATGCAAGATGAAATCAGCTCCATTGATGTCCACAATACATGGGAAATTGTTAAAAGACCGGAAGATAAAAATATGGTAGGTTGCAAATGTAATATATAAGGTAAAATATAAATCATATGGAAGTACAGAGAGATTCAAGGCAAGGTTGGTAGCTAGGATTTAATCAACAAGACAGACTAGATTATCAAGAAGCCTTTAGTCCAATTGTGAAGACTGTGACATTACGCCTTTTTTAATCATTAGACTTGGCCGCTCTACTAGCTGGAAGTAAAGAACATGTTTCTACATGGGGAGTTAAAAAATGAGATTTACTGAAAGAAGTGGCTATGTGGAATTCAAGGCAATAAAATAAAATAAAATCTCTTTTCTTTTATTAACCAATCTGAACTCCACTTACAAATGTCACAAAAACACTGCTGTAAATAAGAAACAAAACCCTAAATACAATCTAGGACATTGCCTTTTACTGCCAAAGTAATAAACACAATTCAGGAATAAAAAAAACCAAACTTCTAAAACAATTTAGGCAAAAATAATGTTCCTGGAAATTCAGAATAAGTATGCAAATATGACTAAAAAATAAAGCTAGATAGCCGGGAAGACTTACTAGATTATGCCTAAGGTCGCCCTCATAAGACTTAGTACACTCCACACCCAATTTCCTATTCGATGACGCCATTCAATCCTATTAGTCTTGCTGAATTTTCTAAGCCAAGAAGCTTCCTTACACGATACCTCTTAAACTAGGGTTTTAGAGAGCATAACCAAACAACCAGGGCTTTGTTAGAACCCCTTCGGAATAAAATAGGGCA